TAGAATAGGCCCATAGGACAGGCTAAAAGCACAGCAGTTGCTGATGCCAAAGCATGAAGGAAAGGTGACTGAAAAATTACTCGGCTCATGACTCAAAAGATTCAGGAAACAAGAACAAAACCAGCCCGTGGCCTTATGCTATTTTATCTTACAAACAATCACTATGGAGAATGGATGGGAATTGTTATTTGAACTGTTATTTGAAGCCTTTCAGCATCTAGTAAGCTTCAGTAATTTGGATGAACTGCCATTTTAAATACCCTAGACAGAGGTATCACTGTATATTTAATTTTAGTATAGCAGTCTTTCAGTTGCCTCAACATGCTAACTGTTGTTTAAATGAAAAGCAGCTATCTACTCGTTTATCATCAGAGCAGATTTGAGTTCTTATGGCAGTTACAAGAAATTACAAACCTCTGCAACTATGATTATAAGGGTGTCATGTATAGTGGTGTATATCACCTATAAATCCAAACAAAATATTCTCTTATTTTATCATTTTAGCTGTTGTGCATCCCCAGCACAAACAATTAGCAACATCCTGGAGTCCTGCTGTGTCCAGCCAGCATGATTCTTGAAAGACATGGCACCTTTAGTCATGGAAACAAGTATCCTACAGCTTCAACACTATAAAAAGCTGTATACTTGATACTGAAAGTGCAAGGGAGAGCACTTGTGAGTGTGTGTGTGAAGGGGTAGGAGGGTGTCGGTCTTCCAGTGTTTAGGAGCTCAGGAACATCAAGAGCTGTGTGTTGGCCAGGAGTCTCTCCTAGGGATAAACAGAGGGAGAAACTAATCCTTACTCTCCTTCACATCCAAGCAGGGTGCGTGTTTGTGTCCGTGTGTGTGTGTGTGTGTGTATTTATCTTCGGAAATGTGCTTCATCCATGGCTGCTGAAGCCAAGGTTGCGTGTGCATGTTGGTAAATGACCTTAAAGCATTAGAAAAAGATGTGTTACAGGCATGCATGTTCAGTCTAAGTCAATCACGGGCACATTTAGTAATCCATGTGTGTGTGATGACGGCGATGTCTGTGTGAGCGTGTGTATGTGAGAGAGATAGAGACTGTACTGATGGGGCTTTGTGTAATCGTGCTGAGCAGTGAAGCGTGTCGAGAGAAAGGACATGTCCTCAGCTCTGATCAAATAGTCTACTAGAACGACAGTGAGGGGAGGGAAGGAAAGAGAAAGACAGACGCTTGTTAGGGAAGAAGAGGAACACAAAACATCAAATGAAACGATGATGAGGAGAGGACGACTGACAAAAATGGAATGAGAGAAGGATAAGCTACGGTAAAAGGGAGAGGTTGGTAAATCAAAAGGGAGGTTTCAGAAGAAATCCACGAGCTAAAAGAGGGATGGAGGTAAAGGCAGAGAGTGATAGATCTGGAGAATTCGGAAAAAAGCAAAGAAAGAGAAAAGGGCAAAGAATTGATGCAGGAAACATGATAGTGACCAGAGTACAGTTGAAAGACGCTGAAGCAGAGATGAAAGAATAAGAAGTTTAGATGGATATGGAAAGCTTAAAGTGCTGGTTTTATCCCCTAGTTTTTTTCCCTCTCCCCCTTCCCCTTTCCTCCATCTCTTGTGCATTCAGAAAGGTTTTCCTAGTTGCAGCAGCCCAAGAAAATAAAATCAAGCGAGGCAGCCCCTCAGCCGACTGGCTAATTGCAGAGGTATCACTGTGTCAAATGACTAATAGAGTTTCCCTTTCCGTCGCTAATCTGCCAGCAGGAGCACAGCCGCAATTTGTTTACTCTTTGCCGATGCAAGGGAATACAAAGACACACCCGCCTTTTTATTTCAAACACAATTTCACGCTGCCAGAGCGTTAGGTGTGAGACGTGTTAGTGGAAAGTGCACGTGTGTGTGTGTGTATCTGGTATACACAACACCACATGTTTCGTGATTTGTTTAATATTTCATGAAACACCTCTGTAAGTTGCGTTCTGCTGGTCTTCAGCAAACTCATGATAGACACACCCTTTCACACTGTGTGTTTATTCCATATATAAACGTTAACGTTCAATTATATGCTTAAATCTAACCTCAACAGATTATTCTTATTCTTATTCTTACTTTCAGGTCCCGAATGACTTAATTTTTTGGTCAAAAATGCAATTACTTCAACAGTCTAAAGTCCCAATTTGCTCTCAAAAGTAAGGAACACGAGAAAAAACACAGGTGTACAAATACAAAATACACATGCATAAATCAGGCACCCGCTTCCTGATTTGGCAGGCAGTATTGGCCCCAGAGGTCAATCCATCACTCAGACCACACCATTAACTGAGCAAATCATAAATTCAGTAGCACACCATTTACTTAGAGTAGTTTAAGAAGAGACCGCAGAGTGTAGAAGGAAAGATTGTGTGAGTAGGGAAATGAATTGCATAAAGAGGCACAGGGAAGCAGAATACAAAGTACTGAAACAGAGTATGAAAACAAAAGGAGCGGCTAAAACAGTGATTTGGCAGCACATTTTGGGAGGATTCTTTCGGTTCTTTGTTCCCAACCATCTCTCTTCATCATTCTTGATTTTGTTCCTTTTTCCTTTACTTTTTTAGCTTATAACCAAGGACACTCCTTTTTAGTGGTCACAGCACAGGCTATAAAAATAATTTGACATGACATTTTTTCCTTCTTTTCACTGTTCTTCCACCCCCTCTTTTGCTCTGAGGTTTGTCCTGTCTGGTTGTCAAGTCTCTCGGTGAGTGCACACTGACACTGGTGGTGTTAGTCTAAAACCCGGACACTAATGAGACAGAAAGACAGACACACCGGAGACACAATTTTAAGAGTACAGAAAAGTCTGGGATTTGCTTCTGATGGGAATAATGCTGCTTCATTACCCTCCTGTACCTTCTGTTGTATGTGCTCCCTCCATTGCATTTCTTTTCTTTTTCCTGTATTGACTGACTTTGTTCTCTAAAACGTGGCTTTCTCAACTGCAGCCTTTTCTTTCCCCTGGACTCGTCCACTGTTTTCCTGCCTAATTCTTTGGATTGTCAAATTTGGGGCATCAGTGCGCACTAGGATTGTGATCCAATCGCCCTGTCTTCCCTAGTTGGATTGCCAGTAACTGACACAATTGCTGCTGGGGCGGGCAAAGGATTTAGTCAGTGTGCACTCGTTAAGGTGGTGCTGTCCATTCTCCATAATGCATGCTATGTGGCCTAAATACAAAAAAAAGCATGAGTGGTAACCAGAAGTTGACAAATCCAAGCTGAGCAGCTGAAATGATATTAAGTCAAAAAACAAATAAAGCTGGAAAGTCAAACCAAAGTCCTTCTTCTGTTTTCTCTTACCCATGATGGTTATATGCAAAGATGACCACATGAAACTATAAAATTTCACATTACTCCAATAATGATGATAATATTGATTTTAATGCAGTTGTTGCTTTTCTTGGCCAGCGATTGACTATTAGTGTCCATTGCCAGGACCCTAGCTCATATAGCCTTATTATCACTGGCATTGCTTGGCAGAGTCAGAAAATGTACCCAGTTTGTCTGGAGAAGTTTTTGGTAGTCTGATTTTAGAGTCAGGAGATAAAAAATATGCTAAAGTGATTACGTCATCCCTAAGGTTTCTTGTGCCGCTCATAGAGTTCTCCAGAATTGTTTGAAGAAGTTCAGTTCAAGAATATGGAATAGGATTGTTAAAGTAATGGTTTCGTCAGCCTTGTGTACAAAATAGGCTGGGCAGATCAGATGCATGGGTGTGTGTTTGTGTGAGTGTCCGAGAGAGAGATGGAGGTGAAAAAGAGAGTGATAAGAGGGTTGTGAAGGTCAGGTAAATGCCAGCACTCGAGACAGTGCTAAAGAGCAGGTTTGTTGGTCACGTAACGATAAGACACTCAGCCTCAGCACACTCTCACTTCCACACAACCTCCAGTCTTTTGTTAATTTGTGCTCTGGCTGGTAAACGCTCCTTGTCATCTGTTTATATGAAATGCATAGGATTCTATTTGCTTATATGGGGAGTTTTAGTCTGCCTCATCCAGGCAGGTTTTAAAGGCTAATTCTGTTTGTGATTGGAGGTTCATTGGCCTATGTTAAAGCCTAAGTCAATCATACGGCCACATATCGATTACAAGGCTCTGTGATTTATTGCTTACTCCTTGAAGAACGTGTTTATGGTGTTTTTCACGTGCTGTTTTCAGTCTGCATATACTGCATATATGGTCCTAATGATGGATAAGATGGATCCCCCCCCCTCCCACGGTCTGTCTCAGTGTTTTTACAGCCGAAGAAACGAGCCCCCCAGACTCACATTAACACCTTGATATATCACCAATCCACCGTTTCAGTGCATCACGGAGGGAAGACAGCTACTGTGCCCCTGAAGGCTGCTTACACCCTCCAGCAAATCCCAATTCAATTTCAAAGTCACTCCAAAGAGAGATGTCTTGTTGTTGTATTATTTATACATTTTATGTATGTTTTTAGTCCTTTTTTATCACCAGGGTGACCTCACCATGATCTCTCAAAGTGTGTGGACTTATCCCTTCCCTCGCGTGAACTAGAGCAAAGTTTAAATGTTTTATTGCCGACTGACAGAGTAGTGTGTCATTTCAGTGACAACTCTAACAATGATTGTAGTCTCTCATTGTCAAGTGTATTTTTTTCCCTTGCCACTGTCTTAAACATGGGGGCAGAACTACTCCACAACCATTTTTTAATGTTCTGTTGGCACTGTAGGTTTGAACGGGCTTTGACAAAAACAGGCATTTACAGTGATTGCTGCTGTGCAGCTATCAAGAATTGTGTTAAATTGTCAATAGATTTATGATATAGTATTTCATGTGTTTATTTTCATCTTACTAGATTATAATCTCTCTCTTTTAATCATGGGAATAAGGCCAATGTTTTTTTTTACCTATATGGAGTTTTTTCCAAATGACTGTTCATCGCTGCGTTTGCTTTTCTGTCCTTCCTCTCCTGTGCTCGTGTCCTTGCCCTTCTCTCCTCCTCTTCCCTCATTCGCTCTCCTCTGTAGACCTGACCATGCGTATCCATGATCAGGTCCGTGACCTAAGTTATGTCCTCTGTCCCTACTTTCCTGCCATAGCACCCTCCTCCCCTGGTGTCGACTCCGCCCCTTTGCAGCGCACTGGAAGTCACGGCACAGGAACAGGAAACTACAACCGCGGCGGGACCAACAACTATGCCACAGTGGGGCCAGGCTACACCTCGAGTGGCGGTAGCGGAGATGTATATGGTTCAGATCCCTATGTGGCTGACCCCTACCGTACCCTGCAGTACTGCCCTTCAGTGGTGGAATCACCCTACAGCAAGTCAGGACCAGCTCTGCCGCCCGAAGGCACCCTGCAGCGTTCACCTTCTATTGACTCTATTCAAAAAGATCCAAGGTAGGATGAAAAGAGTTGTAGAGTGTGTGTTGTGTGCATGAGTATCTGTGTATGCATGTATTGTTTTAGGGGTTTATTGGATCACAGCTTGTATGTTCAACATAATTAAAAATACAATGCCTAGACACACGTACACATCACATGAGTCACTTCAGAGGATGTTATACTGACTGCTCAAGACTTTGTCCTAACTTTACAAAAACAATTGTTAATTACACCAACACCTAGCTCTAGACACAGATTAATATAGTCAGCCACTGATCATGCCATTATTCAAACTTTGTGATCTGTCATCTGATTACAAGCTCCAATCAAGGGACATCTTATTACTGACCTCAGTTTGAATTGCCAACGCTCATTATATATTCATAACTAATCATGTTTCCGAAGGTTTCAAATTATACTTTCAGTGAAATCACAATGGTGCTTTGGAGTTGCTTTAAAAAGCTTAAAATTGCAGTGTTCTTATAAACTCACAGTCAAAGCTTCTTTGCACAAACAGGTAGATTTCATGGTCTTTTGTGGTTAAGAAAAACCTTTAGTAACAGTCACACACTCAACTCAGCCATGACCATCAGGTTTTTTTCTAAGCTCTCTAAAAACAGTTTTTTATGCCCAAAAATGCATTTACACTGAAAATGCCTCAAAGTTAAGAACAGGCACGTTGAAGTAAGTGTGTTGTGTCAGGTACCAGTGTAAAAATTTGAAGGCACTTCAGATACCAAAACACTGAAGAAAGTTTTTGCATATCTGGTTTGTCCACGCTCTAGACTTTGAAAAATGAAGGTAAACAGCAATTATTCTTTAACTTGACAGGAAAATCTGTCATAAATATACAAAAAGTTTTTGCCAAATTAAACTTCTGTTTTTTTGTCCAGTGCAGCTACCTCATATGTATGAGGAAAAACTATCTAATAAGACACCGTTTTACTCCAGTCACACACCAGTTGCTTGAGACTTTTTTTTTCACCTCCCATAGTGTCATGCTGTGCGTAAAAGCATCCTACTGGGCTGTGATCACTTCCATCCTCTTGTCTCTGCAATTAAGCAAAGCTCATTCCCCATCTTTTTTTATACATATTTCACAGGACTCTTGATGTATAATTCCTTTAATTACAGAGCAAGAGGGACTGAGACGGGTGGATCAAGTCTCAGCAGCAGCTGTCAGTCACTGAAAGGGAGAAAGAACACAGTGAACAGAGAGAGTGGGAGATTATTAAGAACAGTGACAATGAAAGTAAAAAAAAAGAGGGGGGAATGATTAGCATGTGCACAGTCTGATGAAGGTAAAGTCCTTCACAAAATCCTGCAGTCTTACTGTAGGATGTGTCTACTTTTGATGATATAGTTAGTCTGACTGACTCAAGACAGTCTTCATATTTCACAACAGCCAATGTACCGAATCAAGCTAATATCTGGTGAGTTATTGTTATTATAAAATAAACACAGCACTTCTGACTTACACTAGAATATCGTATCTGTTTACTTCATAAAAGGAACGATTATTGTCTTTTTCTTTGCACTCTGGACTTTGTTGTTCATAAACACTTCTTCTTTAGCAAAGTAGTATCAATTCTGAGCGAGGTATATGTTTTATTAAGGCATATTATTCACACGGCAACAACATAACATAATAAAATATTTGTAAGAGTAGACAGAAATATGTTTCCAGAAGGTTCAAAGAGATACTGGAGAGCCAGAAGTGAATATAGGTCAGTAAGATAAGAAAATGTGAGCGATTGCATTTTCACATCCTAAATCTAGTACTTGATGATGAAAAGAGGCATTGCATACCTAAAAGGCTAAATTAGCTAATCCGTTGTATAACTGGAGAGATCAACTTCTGTTTTAATATATTAAGTTGTACGCTGAAATGTATTTCTATACATAAATGTGTGTGTGTGTGTGTGTTTGTGTGTGTGCGTGCGTGTGCATGGAGGGAGAGAGGGTGTAAGTGGATATGTAGCAGAGGACTTTTTAGAACTTTTAAAAGTTGATTGTTTTGTAATACTCATAATACGAAAACCGAGCCAATGTAGGAGTAGGTTTAGCGCTTACATTTCACATACAAACACACTCAGGCATACGCACATTGTTCTCTTTATGCACTTGCAATGAAAGTGTTTATTGTTGGCCCTCTAGTGTTATTGCCACACTTGCTTGTATGCACAGTCAAGATCATTTTGCTTCCATTATTGCCTCAGGCTTCATGGATTTCTGTGCACAGATCCAGACAGAAATCTCATTTTTCCTCCATTTGCACTTTTTTTTCCCCCCAGCAAAGTAACAAGAAATGGTAGAATTGCAAGCATTTTGTACACTGGTTAAATTCAACACTAAAGATCTTTTTCACAAATCTGAGCCTTTGTGGTGAATGCTGCCTGCAGATTGCATAGTGATTTATTACTATTATGTTACATCATTACTATTTTTAACTTTATGTACAGTTAAAGGTGTCTTTAAATTCTTAATTTTTAGCTGTATTTTTTATGCAGTTATCTTACTGTGCTTAATTTGTTGAATTGAAGTGTGTTAGATTTCTCTTTGTCAGGAGGTTAAATGGCCTCCTACTCAAACTCCACTCTCTCTCTTGCTGTAATTGGATCTAGTTGAGCTAACATGAAGTGCTAAATGAGTTAGCAGCTATTAGACACAAAGAACACTGTGAGTGAGGGCAGAGGTTATGTGTGCATGTTT